TATGTAATTACAAAATTACCCATGTACCGTATCGCAGGGGCATTACCCCCGCACCTCTAACCTACATAACGAAACTTTCCTGATTGGACAGATGCTTCCGCTCGCGAGCTCTACTACACTCGCGAGCTTTGCTCTCTCGCTCCGCTGGCTTGCTCTGTTCCGCTCCAATATCTGTCCCTTATCTGATATATGAGTCATATCTAACACAACCCTTTCATGCTTTTAAGTATTTTATGTCATTTCACTTAAGGTGCAAATTCCTATTACTTATTTATATTATTGTATCTTTCAATTACCTGTTCACTACAACCCCTCACCACATTCCTATTTTTAGGGATAATTAAATTTCAAATTTTGACATTCGGATTACTATTGGTCGTCAAAATAACATTAAATCATAATCCTCTTATTCCTAATTTTGGACCACAATTAGGGTTTAAACCCATTGTTTCAATAAATTATTGTTCTATTATGGCTACTTGTATGGCACTTTTTTTCTAATTCTGGTGGGCTTTCTGCTTCACTTTCAGGGTTTGAGACCTACCATTCCAAAGCATACGAACCTGAAACTTGCCGAGCTGCTCGAGAAATGCTGGCAGCAAGACCCAGCTTTGAGACCAGATTTCTCAGAAATACTGGATAGACTTCAGCGCATAGCCAAGGAGGTAACTTTCAGTTATAAAATGGTTTAAATCCTAAAATGGTCCCTAAACTATATAGATGTGTCCAATTTAATCTGAGGGTTTTGCAGTGCTCTATTTTAGTCATCTCTAACTATTGAAAACTGATCTCAATTGGTCCCCTGGGGGATTAGATTGGAATCAGTTTTGTGTCTGATATTTTACACAAGATATCATTTCTTATCAATTTTTAGTAGTTTAGGGACTAATTAACAGCACTGCAAAATTTAGATTTTAAATTGTCCGCATCCAAAATTGTAGGAGGACCATTTTGAGATGGATTTTGATATAAAAATTTATTCTACATCAAAATTCAAAATTCATCATCCTTTGATATGCTTTAAAATAAACAAACCTTCAAACAGGTAAAAGAAGCCTCTGAAGACCGGCGCAAGGAGAAGCCCGGTGGTGGTTTATTTTCAGTCCTTAGGAGGAGTCATTGATTATTGTTATCATTAGTATTATCATTACTATGTATATGCTCCGACTAGCTGTCTTCCAGCCTATTATATTTTGTTCCCTAGGACTGTATAGTGCCTGTTTTTTTATTGTTTAGATTAGTGTAAAATTATAATTATTTACTGAATATATATTTTTTTTCTACTTGAAAGTTTAGAAAATGAAAATCATTTGTAGTTCAGAAAATGAATGCCATAAACTTTGTTTTGGAACTCTCTCCCAACCCAATTGTTTTTTGTGTTATTTGCAAACTACACTGCTTTTGTTTATCTTTCTCTTGCAACAAATGTGCATCTTAAAAAGAATTTAACATTAAAAATATTATTTATTTATTTTTTTTATATTATTTGTACTCTCCTCCATGTTATCCTCTACTACTTGTTTGTAAATATAATTTTATAGTTAAAAAACTGTTATGGGGAAATTGATTTTCTTAAATTTGTTGCCGCTATTATATTTATATATATTTTTTTAAAGAGTAATTTTTTTTTATATAGCATTCATACTAAGAAACTTGGTTGCAAAATGTTTCTTCCTGTATTGTAATATTATAGACACTAGAAAGAAAACAGTAGCTCTAATCTGAATGATAGTTGCTTGAAAAACAAAGCAAAGAAAAAAAAAATGAAAAACAACATTTGCCTTTTAGGGTTGCCCAAAAAAATAAAAATAAATAAATAAATAATTGATGAGCTATATATAACTCAGCTTGATTAGAGCTTATTTATAATTATTTGACTAACCAATCAGATATGTTTAAAGACTTCAAAAATGAGCTCGAGCTCACCCAGGCCATAGCCTCCAGCTTAGCTCAGATCATTCATTTTCAACCCTAGTTATCAAATGACTTGTTGCGATCATTAGATGACTGACGACCCAGTTAAAACTAAACACTTGGAACAAGTTAATGAGATGCAGTCAAGAGTCCTCCTCCAATTACGCCAAAGTTGTTTATTATTATTTTTTCGCTATTCTCTTGGCGGAGAAAGTTAATGGAAATTCTTCTTCTTGATCACGCACACTTCAAAGCTTCTCTTTATCACATGAAAATATAAGTGAGGACCGTACGATAAACGGCAAGCTCACTTCAACGATCATTGCTTCTCTCCCGACCAAAAGAATATTAAGCCTCCCTGAATCCATCATCTCATAAAACTCGAAAAAGAAAAATAATAAATAATAAAATTACATGCCGAATGATATGATGTTTGTCTCCGGTGTGTCGATGAAAGGATGCAAACGTTAGTGTCAGGGGGAGTCATAAATAAGCATGGATGTACATACTATAATGTAAATCAGTCTCCATTATTATCAAAACCATGCCTCCAACCTCCTCTTTCTTCTCCCTCTTTTCCTTTTATTAACAACAGCAGAGTATCTCCTGCAGTCTTAATAATGAAGCTGAACCAAAAGAAACAAATTAAAGAGCAGCTGCTCACTCCATTTCTTCACCCTAATCTGCACAAAACCAAACCTTTATCTTTTTCTTCTATAGCTCTTTGTCTGCTTTAGTTTTCTTTCTCTTTCTCCATGTGAAGGCAAAGAATTTCATTTGCAGCATTTATAAACCCCGCCTCTTGCTCTCTGCAGACCAGCCATTGAAGAAGAAGAGAAAGCTTTTGAGAGATTAATGGCGAGCGTGAAGGTTTTCGGGTCGCCGGCATCGACGGAGGTGCAGAGAGTTCTGGCATGTCTGTTTGAGAAGCAGGTTGAGTTCCAGCTCGTGAAGATGGATAGCTTCAGAGGACATAGGAGAATGCCCGAGTGTCTTAAGATGCAGGTTAAGAACTTGAACTTAATTAATTACATTTTCTTGTTTTTAATTAATTAACTTTAATTACATTAATTATATTAAGATTGTTTTTTTCTTAGTGTTTGATTAACTTATGTGCTTGTTATTATTTCTTTTGTTATCAGCCTGGTGGCGAAGCTCTTACCTATCAGGACCAGGATAAGGATGCCCTTGTTGGTGAGCCTGCGTGGGCCTTATAAAATAAATTTGCATTATTATTAATTATATAGTTTTATTATATATTAATATATGATATTTCTAAACATAATAATAATAGTCATAATTATTTGTGATAGTATAATAAATTTATATGAGTAAAGTGCAAAAATAGTTCTAAATTATTTACTTAGATAATTTTACTCTCAGAGTTTATAGAAAGTTAAAATAGTCTCCAAACGAGTTCAATTGGGGCTGAAATAGTTTCCATGAAAAATTATTAGAACCCAATTTTAAATTTTTTAGGAACTATTTAGCAAATTAGTTTACATGCTTTTTTTATACGCGGGCAACGTAAATTTTTAATTAAAAAATTAGCTTAAATATTAGATTTTGGACATGTAAAGTCTAATTTATTTTGAAATGAGTATAATTTTAATTTTAATTTTAGTTTCACGTATTTCAGCTATTTCATGACTTAGGGCCTGTTTGGGTAGCTGCAGCTTATTAAAAAACAGTTGTAAAACTGTTTAAAAACATTCTAATGTT